ATTCACCGTGAGGTACCGGGTCAACTCTGATGCGGAATGGCAATGGGTCAACCAGCAGCAACACATCAGCGACGGAGAGCTTCTCTTCCCCGCCCAGACGCCAACCTTTGACTTAGAAGAGCCGGCGCCGGCGACGGATTTCGCCAAGTACTTCAAAAGCCTCTCCTCGTACGTCGCGATTCAGCAGCGCAGGAGCGAAGCGCCCGGGTCCAACCTCTGGCACGTCACGGGGCCGGTCACTGCCGCGTGCGAGGGACAGTCGGGCCTCACGAACCTTTCGCTCGGGGTGCCCGCCTCCGTGGCGCGGTATTTCGCCCTGGTGCGGATCTGGAGCCCGTGGCTGGGACCACGGCATGGGAAGGGGAGCTTCACGTTGAGTGAAGATGCGATTCTGTGTTCGTTTCTGCGGACGGATGGGGTGCATGTGGTTCTCTTGGCCGTGTCGGGGGTGGACGATGTCCTGACATTGTTTGGTTCTGGGGAGGACGGGGCGGTGGTGGTCAAGGCCAAGAATGATAGCACACAAGCAGCCAGGTTTCAGATCCTGGCTGCAGCTGCGCACGATTTCGAGGTGGCGATGAGTGCCGTGATCTACGAGGCTCGGAAGTTGACCCGGCCATATGCTGAGCCGGCTGAATCTACCCGGGTGCCAACCCCGGTGTCTCCACCCGGGGATGATATCGTGGTGGTCGAGAAGGATAAGGATGTCAAAGCCCAGTGGCTGGCGGAATGGTACGATGGTCTGACGTACTGTACCTGGAACGGCCTGGGACAAGACCTGACGGAGGAGAAGATCCTCCGTGGGCTGGATTCCTTGAAATCGCACGGCATCAAGATAGCCAATCTGATCATCGATGATAACTGGCAGACATTAGACAAAGGCGACTCTCAGTTCACCCGAGGTTGGAAACAGTTCGAAGGAAACCCGGATGCTTTCCCCAAGGGCTTCAAGCAGACTATCCAGAAGATTCGGACCACCCATCCGAACATCCATCATATCGCAGTGTGGCATGCCATGTTGGGGTACTGGGGCGGCATCTCGCCCGATGGTGAATTGGCAAAGCTGTATAAGACAAAGCGAATAGAGATCACAGACCCGGCAGCGGGAGGTCCGATTGCGCACGCCTTCGAGCGGGGGTCGCTACTAGCCATCGACCCCGACGACATTCAACGATTCTTCGACGATTTCTACAACTATCTCGCCTCGGTGGGAGTTGACTCGGTCAAGGCCGACGCGCAGTTCTTCCTCGACCTGATCAAAGACCCCGCCGACCGCAAGCGGTTTATGAATTCGTATCTCGATGCATGGTCCATCTCGACCCTGAAGCACTTCAGCACCCGGGCGATCTCGTGCATGTCGATGATCCCCCAGGCAATCTTCCACTCCCAGCTGCCCACCAACAAACCGACGATCCCGCTCCGCAACTCGGACGACTTCTTCCCTAACATCGAGTCCTCCCACCCGTGGCACGTATTCTGCAACGCCCACAACGCCCTGTTGACACGGTACCTGAACGTCGTACCGGACTGGGACATGTTCCAGACCAGCCACCCCTACGCGGGCTTCCACGCCGCCGCGCGCTGCGTCTCCGGCGGCCCGATCTACATCACCGACGAGCCGGGCAAGCACAATCTCGCCCTCATCGACCAGATGACCGCGCCGACCATCCATGGCGCGACCGTCATCCTCCGGCCCGGGCTTGTCGGCCGCACGCTAGACGTCTACCACGACTACAACGAAGGCCACGTGCTGCGCGTCGGCACATACACGGGCTGGGCCCGCACCGGCAGCGGCATTTTGGGACTCTTCAACATCTCCAGCGCCGACAGAACCTCCATCATCCATCTCCGCGACTTCCCGGGCATCCACCCCGACTCGACGGGCGAATACATCGTCCGCGCCCACACCAGCGGCAAGATCGCCGAAACCCTGCAGGTCTCCGACGCGAAAGCCCTGGTCTCCGTCGAAGTCAAGCACAGGGGCTGGGAGATTCTCACCGCGTACCCGACGCACGCATTCTCCCTGACCCCGCACAACACATCCCCATCCTCAACCGCCGCAAACCCAACATCAACAACAACAACGAAAGTGGCCGTCCTCGGCCTTCTCGGCAAGATGACCGGCGCCGCCGCCCTCGCCAACTCGGACGTCTACATCGAAAACAACGGCCGGCTCCGCGCGGACGTCAGCCTCAAGGCGCTCGGCACATTGGGGGTGTATTTCTCGGATCTGCCAAGGTGGGATATCGATGGGAACTTCATGGTGACGATTCTGGGGAAGCCGGTGCCGCGGAAGACGGTGTGGAAGGTGGGGGCTGCGGAGGAGGGGGATCGAGGTGATGGTGATGGTGACGGGGATGGGAAGGGCGGTGCTAGGGTTCTGGCGGTGGATGTGTTGGCGGCGTATAAAGAGATGGGCTTGCGGCCAGGTTGGAGTAATGAGGTTTTGGTGGAGATCTTTGTGCGGTGAGTAGCACTCATGAGTCTGGTTTCTTGATCAGATGGGAAGCGTGCATGTGTGTGTGGAAGTAGGCCTGGCTTTGGGGCTACTCAGAGATGACCCAGATGAAAGTTCAAGAAGTTCAAGCGGCTGTAGTAGGATGTGATGAGAAGAGAGATTATATTCATAGCATTCTGACGCAATCAAGTAAACAAAGCGTAATCATCATCATGTAAGGAGCCCACTGGGCCTGCAAAGCAGAGCAGATATCGCCACCAAGCACCCAACCTTAACCCGACAAAAACACGAAGACTAACTATAACAAATCCAGCACCCCACCACTTCGAACCAAGACAGTCGACTGTGCCCACAATACCTCAATAATCACCCGTCGGAATCCCCCCGGCCAAAGGAACATGCTGCCCATGGAACCCGAACGCCACCGGCCCGTCGACCCTCGCCTTCCCCAGCACGGACAGATCTCGCGCATCCAGACACAGCAGATAACTCTTGCCGGAATGCCCATCCAACACCACGCTCAGCATCACCCCGTCATCCTCGTTCGTGCCCTGCGGGTCCGCCACAAAGATCGGCTCCCCGGGGGAATGCGCATGCTGGGCCCAGATCTGCGGGGTCTCCGGGTGGTCGTTGTCGAGTTTCATGATGCAGTCGAAGAAGGTGGACTCGCCGCGGGCGCCGATGGAGTAGGTGTACCGGTTCTTGCGGGTGACGTAGCTGGGGTTGAGGGTGGGGAGTTCGGGGGAGATGGGTTTGCAGGTGGTGCGTTCGAGGATTGCTTTTTGTGGCTGAGGGTTGGGGGATGCGGGAGCGGGGATGAGCGGGAGGCGGAAGCGGGCGACGGTGGAGCGGGTGCTGTCGGTGCGGCCGGGGGCGCCGAGGCGGGCTTTGGTGGGGCTGGTGTTGGAGAGCAGGTTCTCGTAGTACAAGGAGAAGAGGAAGTCGAGGTTGTCGAACATGACGAGATCCGCGACGATGTCGATCCCTCCCGGGCTATTGGAGGCGGACGGCTCCTGCCAGGCGTTGATGCTGTGAAAGCAGAAGAAGGGCGGGCCGGTGTATGTGCCAACCAGGCCCTGGCTGCCCTGGCGATCGATGACATACCACATTGAGGGCTTGGTGGGGTCGAATGGCTCTATCGCGTCGAGAACGCTGTGGACGGGGGTGTCGAAGACCGAGACGTCCAGATGCGCGTTCCACACGCAGATGACCACGTAGTCTTCGGTGAGGAAGAGGGAGTGCAGGTAGGCGGGCGTGGCGGGGAAGGTCGCCAGGATCGTGGTCTCGCCGGTGGATACGGAGGTGCGGAAGACGCGATACGTGGGTTCCGGGCTGTGTGTGAGGTTGTAGTTGAAGACATCGCCGGTTTTGGGGTCTGAGCGGGCGTGCGCGGCGGCCCTTTCGCCCGTGAGGTCGGGATGGAGGTTCTGCTGGCGGGCGAGACCGAGGGGCTCCAGGGTGACGGGGTCTAGCTGCTTGAAGATGTTGTAGTCAGTCTTGGCCCACAGGGTCTTGATCCCTGTTGACATGTCCCAGCGGTCACTGGTTTCGGTCCCCAGGCCGGGCATGTTGACCGATAAAGTGACCCCAACGTTCACGGCGGCTGGGTGAGGGGGAGTCGACTGGCTGACTGGCTCGTATTCGGTCTGAACCTTGTCGTAGACGGCTTTGCAGGGATCGCGCTTCTGGCCGAAGGTGGTCGGTTTCAGGCTCCCTGACTTGCGGGTTTCTTCGATCAGGTGGTCTACCGAGAAGCGAGAATTGTAGTAGACTCGCAGGGGGTGGTCGGCGTCAGAGGCGACGAGCTGAAAGCGATGGGTTTGACTATATCCATCGAACCAGTAGCTGAGTTCGACCGTCTCCCCCTGCTCAGTGTCGACTTTGTAACTTCCTGGCCCGGTGCGGTACAGCGTGCCAGCCGTGTAGGCAGGAATGATACCCTCCACTGGGAGTTCGACGGGGTCTTTGACTTCGTAATTGGCATCGAACTGGAGTAGCATTAGTCTCAGCCGTTGATTTCTACTTAAGTAGAGGCTCTTACGCCTTGAACGTTGGGCCAATTGTTGAAGTGGTCTTCAGCCTGAGTGTTCTGGGTGGTGGTCATGTTTGCTCGGGGATTGCTTGAATGGATCGGATTGTTTAAGATATGCTTGTGCTAAGAAGCTGGACCTGTTGAGGACCAAGTAAGCCGCATCTCTGCTGAAGGAGTTGGGTTCTTATATATGCCTGATGAAGGCGAAGAGGTGGAGGGATCCCGCTGATAGAGTTGGTGGAGGAATCCCGGAAATAACGTAGTTATAGTTTACTTGCCTACTTACACTCTCATCTCTTTGTAGTTGTGTTTGCATGGATCGGACCCCGGCGGGATTCCCCCACATTTCCCCGCCACTGCTGACGCCGACATTTCCAACTCTCTTTCAACCATTCACCACAACTGTGTTATTGACTACTTTTGGCCAAGTAAGGCACCAGAAGGTCTTACCGGTTTCAGTCAAGTCGAATCGCCGACCCTGTCAGTTTACGTACTGTACATAGTTTCAGCATGACCGCACGATCCAGATCCGCGGAGACACAAGATCCACCCACCAAATGGAGCTGCGCCTCCTGCGATGCAATCTTCCACCGGATTGACCACTACAAGCGCCACATCACTTCCCGTACGAATTCCTTGCCCTCCACCTTTAGCACAAAGTAGTCCTTTGTTGACCGACAGCAGATAGCGCAGACAAACCGTATCAGTGCTCCTTCTGCGCCTCTCGCTACAGACGAGGGTGAGCCCGCTTCTTTTATGAGTTTTCAGCTCATCTCCCACTCGAGCTCACTGCTAATGAATACAGCGACGTCCTTCGTCGACACTGGAAGACCTGTCCCGCGCGCCATCAGGCCGGGTATGAGATCCCAGAGCCCCGAACAGGCGGCAAAGAACGACATGCATGCGATGCATGTGCGCGTCTGAAAAAGGCTTGTGATGGGGGGAACCCGTGTCTAGAATGTAGGATCAAGGGAAGAGAGTGCACCTACCGGCGGGTTGATGAGAGTAGTGAAGGGACGGTCGTGCAGAGCGAACGACTTCCAGAACCGCAGCTGGGCTCCGGGTCCGGAGAGGATCCCGCTGCCCTGCCGTGGAGTTTAGGCCCGGGGAGCTTTTACTCGCTGGACGCTGCGAAAGAAAGTGCCTATAGGTACTTGAAGTGATTGAATGCGGAGCGTTACTTATCACGCATGCAGCAACCGGCGGGTTGATGATATCGAAAACATGCATGGCAGAATGCGCATAAACCCGGGCACCCCAGGACGGGCTGTCACACGGGGTTAGGGCTTGCAACCCTGCCCAAGACGGCTTCAGGGAGGATCTGTTCTTGCCGGTGAATACATGTCCTGCTGGCGAACCGGCTCGGACTGCGGCGAGTCAATTGGCCAGCCTGTTGCTGCCCACAAAAAGGGGTTTGAGGAGCAATGCCAAAAGCAAGTGCACGCTAAGAAGCTAGGATCATAGCCGTGCAGCTTTGTAATGCTCTCAGTGACACACTATCAGAGCCTGTGAGCAACCATGTGAGGAAAGCATCCAGGAGAAGGAGAAGTACCGATGGAGATGTGAGGTTGCCTCTCTTCATTTCTCCTTTGCGTTCGAGGCACAGGTAGTGGCCCTAAAGCTAGTCCTTTTCGGATATATGAGGTAGGCGTTCTAAGAATCTCGGAAAGACTTTGCAAATGAAGTTATGGAATATGCTGCATGACCGGGTAGAAGCCCCCATCCCCTACAAAGTGATGACGCCAGTCCCCATGCCGTGGTTTATGTTTCCACATAAGGCTCTATTCAAACACATAATACTAATGCATTGGATACTCGAATAAAGGAGCTATTTTCTACGTGGAACTGACGGAAGAATGCATTGGATGAAATCCAAATGAGCCTGGGTCTAGTCTACGCCATGAATATCAAAATGTGAAAACAGCTCCCACCAGAAAAAACCACTTGATTCCACTGTTCCACTCCTGCTGCAACACTCAACAATAAATTAACTACACGACATAAAACAATTGGTCTGCCCCTGCGTCCCCAACGAGTCCAGATACGGGTCCGGCCGGCGCAGGTAATCCGCCAGGAAATTGGCGCAGTGGGCAACATGGCCCGAATCCGCCAGCATGGTATCCACCCGATCCCCCCGTTTGTAAACGTCATGACCGCGCCGGAGCAGGTAGAGGCAGTGCACCAGATGCTCGCGGGTCACCGTGAAGTAGTACCCCTGCTCGTTGTTGCCCACCTCGGTGTAGTCCTTCATCGGGTGCTGCATCTCGTGGTCGTAGTAGTACTGGAAGGGCTTGCCGTCGTTGAAGGTTGCAAAGTCCTCGGAGTAGTCATGGGGGCAGTCCTTGTGCAGCCAGCAGGCGGACAAAGGATCGTACGAGCAGCCCAGACTGGTAGCCTCGGCGGTGGAGTTGCCGCAGGAGAGCGTGGTGTGGCGGTTCGTGGAGAAGCACTGTCGCTGGCCGTTGATGGTCGACGAGGACGACGAGAGCTTCACGACGAGGACCTGGCGGAACGGCTCGATGGTAATGGCCGCGATGACGGCGAGCACGAGCAGAACCAGGACCAGGAGAAGGCCTGAGATCGTGATGGCCGTCAGATTCCGCTTGAGGAATTGCTGGATCGAGTGCCGGCGGCGCGAGCCAGGCCCGATTATGGTTGTGGTGGTGCCATCGCCGCTGTTCTCCGTCTTGGGAACAGGCTCGTAGTTGTGGTGGTGAGGGAAGATCTTATCCATCGCCATTGATCTCGTGCTGCTACTTGAAGTACAGCATCTCACGACTTTCTACCCTTGCGGTCATTCAGCCAAGGCCTTCTTTGGGAAGTAACGGCATTTGGTATCTATTTGTATGTGAGAGTGACTTGGAGAAGATGACGAAGACAGGCCTCAATAAGCACCATTAAGGACTGAGAATGGTGATCAATAGAGGGGGCGAAGACAAAGAGCACGAATCTTGGCAGCAGGAACTGGTTGAGCTTACCGAGATCGGACTGGGACTCGGGACTCACTGGGCAGAATGGCACGCCTGCCTAATCGAGCCCGAACAAAGACACACCTCAGTGGACACACGCGGGAATTCCCGCAGTCAACCTGAATCAACCTACTCTCTACTTGTCAAGCAACCACTGCTTAGAACTTCATTAAACACTATTGCGGACTTTTATTATCATCTGACAGCCATGACAAGGCTGCGAACGCTCCCCCTCTTCTCACTCATGGGTTGTTGCCCGTGACGGCCCCCCATATATACGCAGCCCAACTGCCCAGCGTGAGCAGCAACAACGCTGTGAAACACCCGATCGAGATGCGTTTGCTCTGCTCGTAATGCTCGACGAGGTGGTGCTGCTGTAGCATCGCGAAGAACTCCGCGCCCAAAGCATGACGCTTCTTCCGTGACCATTGCAGGGGCGCCAGATCTCTACCCACATAGGATCCGATCAGGAGAACAATTGAGACGATGGCACAGCAGACCGCCAGGAAGAGATAGACTCGCACGGCGCGATGGTAGGAATCGTTATCGGCATCCTGAAGGGCACCAGTGATGATACCAATGATAATGGTCATGCTGGAAAAAAAAGGGTTAGAGGACATTCTGTTTGGAGAACGTGGAGAAACGTACGCATTGTTCATCGTCACTTTCAGGGAGTACGCAGACCCAAACACTGACTGATGCCAGAGAGTGGTACGGATACCATCGATGATAGAGGTCGGTCCCAACGACACCGCGACGGCATAGATACCAAACGCCGCGGCAGTTCCCTGCTTCGCTGAGGCGTAGTTGACCAGGATCATACTGATGAACATTCCGAGACCGCACACGCACACTATTCTTGTCTCAGTGGGGATACCCATGGCTAAATTTTGGAAGGGCTTGACTCACAGACTGAGGCTCGGTGACCGAGGATATCAATAAAAACGCCCAGGCAAGGAACAAGGAAGAAGCCTATATCATATTAGCAAATGCCCTCCTAGGATCCGAGTCAAACACATACCAGCATATTGAGCCAAAGCGCTGTACCAGCCCGCTTTGATGGCGTCGACATTGAATCTCTTCTCGGCCAATTCCGTCGCATTGGAGCTGAAGACACTGGCGGTACTGGTTTGGAACATCGAAAAGGCCATCACGGCCCAGAACATCCAAGGCAACTGGAACATCTTCCGGATCTCGAACTGCTTATTCTTCTCCACCAATTCTTCCTGGGTCGCCTTGTCTTCGCGACCACGGTAGTGCTTCTCGCAGTAGCGGTTGAATATCCAGAAGAACACGGTGGCTGCGTTCGTGAAGAGATTCATGAAGACAGAGGTCCAGAACACCCAGGCAAAGTTGCCAGTATTCTACTGGCGGTTAGATCAATGGAGCTCCAAGGGTTGCAGGGCACATACCTTGGCAATCACGTTCGCGGTGGACTTGCCGACGAATCCTCCAATCTAGTCAAACTTAGCTTTGGCGAGTTCAACGTGGTGGGGGCGCATGATTCAATACCTTTCCAATGGCGAGCTCAAATCCAAGCGTGGAAGCAAATCCGTTGCTGGGCGGAAACCAAGAGGAGAACATTTTGTATTGCGCTGTCTGGGTCGCAATGTCGCCAAGTGCGAGGATGATTCTTCCGCCGACCATGAATCTAAATGAGCGCACTGTGGTAGCAGCAGCCACCAGAATGGAACCAATGGTATACACGACATTTCCATAAACGATCATCCCTGGCAGCAAGTTAGTGTCGTTGCGTTAGTGGAGGGGATCAGCAAACATACGAGCACCACCAACTCGATCCGTGACAATGCCGCCTGCGAGAAGCAGAAGGGTAGCCATGAAGTTCTCACTGGCTTCGAGAAGGGAGAATTGGGTGTTGGTAACATGCATTTGCTTGGCAGTCTGTCAGCAAAACAGTAACATACTCTGGCTAAGAACACAAACCTTCTTGATTGTGCTCTTCATGGCTCCGGTGACACCGCTGCTCCAGTGGGAGCCAAAACTGATGCAAGAGATAACAACGACAGCAATCAGCTTCGCGGCCAGAGGTGGTGGTCGCCTTCCATCGACATCATTTGTACGAGGGCTCTTGGACGATTGCAAGGATGAGGTAGTCTCCGGCTCCTCAGAGACCACCTGAGGTGTGTTCTTTTCAGCTCCCATTTTGCAGACAAACAGACAATCTGTGTTTTGGATGAGAAAATGAACGTAAGTGTGAGAAGATCAGCGCAGTCGAAGGTGCGGGCAGACCCTGGTCGTGAGCCCATCTTTATATGGCATGAGACGTCCAGACCACTTTCTTCCTGAAAGCTCCCGGTATTTCGCCGATTGGGGGTCATTCGGCCAAGAAACGTTTAATCAGATTAGATTTTCTACCAACCATCCGATTCTCGGGCCCTGCTTCTCAGGAGGGGGAGCTTCCACACTTTTTTGTTGTTTGGTGTCTTAGCTACGCCAACGTTGTCGTATAGTCTCCGCCGAGAAACATGGTGATTGGGCAGGACTCAGATCTTGGCATCGATTGATAAGATTGATAGGACCCACTTACGGACAGTGTCCGAGAAGGTTGAGCAGGTTCAGCACCGTTCGAGAAGATCCTTCACCTGTTGGTCTGGGTTTGTCTCACTTATCGGAGGTCGGAGGACTTAGGGCTTGGACATCCGCACCACGGCCACGTATCTTCAGAAAAGCTTTCACCGGGAATCGAGTTTTCCATGCTTGAGCAGACATTGTCACTTTCGTTCCAGAGAACAGCCTTGTCAGAGGGCTTGCCATCCGGCCGATTGTACATTCCTGGCCGGGCACACCACACAAGAATGGCAGAGGGCCACTTCTAGCTATCACATTATCGGCGAGAAGGCAATTAAGTCGGAGTATGGCTTCCGCCCTCGTCCAACACGTCAGAACCAGGACGTCATCAGAAGCTCGTACATTTCGAACATAAGTGCCACCCACATGCACGAGCAGCACCGAACTACAGACCCCAAAGGGTACTTCTTGTGTCAACGTTAAGTAAAGTGATTGTCCCAGCTTCATTGACATCCCTGTTCGCCGCGACAGCCTGCTTGGCTTTGAGCCAACCAAACAACCAGCCTCTACAGCGGCTCCGTGACTGCACCGTAGCACCAACATGTGAAATCTGCTCACTTATCGTAGCAGAGATACGTACGCAGTCAGAACTACCTTTGAAGAAA